CTGATCGTTCCACCTTCATCTATTCAAACAATTATACGCAAGCATGAACACCATGAGAATGTCCAGCCATCATACCGGTCAGAAAGGAGACAGGTTTTAGTGCGAAATGAAACCCAGAACAAAAGCAAAAGACCTTGTGAAGATGCCAAAGAATTCTCTCATTTCACCAGAGGATATCTGCAGCAGTGACTAATCAATAACATAACGTTCTCATAAGCCTTTGTATTTCTGTAATGTTTGGATTCTCGATTATCTTTTGCCTGTGCTTTTTTAAAATCTAGATTGTTTAAGTATCAGCATAGATACTATCATGTCCAATATTAAACGAATGTTGTTGCTTATGTGTCCCTTTTGCATGAAACCTGTTTGCTCTTCGTCAATAAGTTGAATTAATCCTTGTTTTATTCTCCTAGCAAAAATTAATGCAAATGTTGGGCTGAACTCAAATCAGCTTCAGGTTAGAACTCAGCCTGACTGTCTTTGGCTGACGGCAAATAAATAAACCTGAGAATGAATCTGCACAAACAGCTTCTGGGAAACGGTTGATTTACCCGAGTGTTGTTGTTTTATGTGTCCAGCTAGCACTGAACAATGATGCTTAAAACCCAGTGAAACGCAGAGGCTGATGGGAGTGAAACTAGAAAAGGAATCCAACACTGAATCAAAGTGTTCATAAGCTGAAGCCAAGGAGTCAAAGATGATCCCAGAAACACGGAACAAGTTCAACTGAATAAACAAGTTCAGTCCAAAAAACAGACCTGAACTGTGATCAGCAGCATCTACGGCTTCAGAAGGGCTCATTGTCAAAGACGCAGAGATCAGCTCAAGACAATCCATCGTTCAACAAACTGTGATCTGAGGAACAAACTGGGATCTCTGTCACATGAACGATGAAACGCTGAGAACTTAGGAAATAAATGTAGGACTTTACAAACACTGATGTTGTGAAGATTCAGTGTTACATGTTAGGATTCAATGCTCTTTGTCCTACTTTTGAAATGTAGAAGGCCGTGAAGGACAGCGTGCACAGGACTTGCAAAGCAGCCCAGCCTGTGCTCAGCAGATGGGAGCAGAGGAGATATCTGCTGTCTGACTGGAGAAACGCTGCAGCGGGTCTGGACTCGGGACTCACTTGTTCACAGTCTGGACTGTACATGTGACTCCTTGCTGCCAGTAAAACTTTGCTTTGACTTGAGAGACGACTCTGTGTGTTGATTTGGAGCAGTCAGGACTCCGCTGAAGGATTTTCCTAACAACTGATCAAAGCAGAAGCAGGAAGGAAGCTCACAGTGAACATCAGCCTTCGTGGAACGTGTGGCTGCAGATTCATATTTGTTGAAACGTGTATTAAACCCTCAAATTCAAACGTCATCGTTTTGTCAGGAGATGTTGAGGACTGTTTTCTCTGAACTCTGCCCAGAGCCGAAGCTGCTGAGCCACCACTTCAGACAGTCAACCCGGTCCGCACAAGTCCCACCCTTGTAGATTCGACCAGTCGGGTTGCAGACACTCTCTGACGCGGTAAACTTGTAGCCAATGAGCAGACGAACCCGTGGACGTTTCGGAAGGCAGGATTCTTTTTTTTTTCTTCTTTTTTTTTGGAACAATTTTATTTTACAATTATGAGGAATGACAAATAGCATAACATTCTTAAAAGGTGAAAGAACACAATGAACAGTCCAGGGGTTCAATAATTACAATGCTTACATTATAAAGTTCATACAAAATTAATTTCTTTAAGGATCTGAAAAGTTTTTGTTGCTT